TTTCGACTGAACTAATTTATGATGAAGGATATTGCCTAAGTTGACGCCATCGAGACCTTTGTTGGCAAAGGAAAGTTTAAGAAAATATATTTTCAATTTTTCATCTTTTCCAATGCGAACTGGTTTGAAAAGTCTGAGACTTGCAATATCCGAAATGATAGCTGTAAGTTTGTATTGGTTTGAATGAGGGTTTGTAACAGTGGTTTCCAAACATAAATTGAACATAGAATGAAGTTTTGAAAGGGGTAATGAATAAAGTTTCGTGCAAATGTGATGAATACCTAACGGCTTTTGTATAAATGGCAGCAAGTCATTAATAGAGACATCATGCAAAGTAGGTGATGTATAATAACGATGGCCATGACTGCGTCTACGACGAGGAGTAGAGTTGAAAATATTTATCACATTCACCGAGCTACAGGAAGGACTAGATAGAATACCTATACCATCAATTGTGTCATTGCAACCATATGGTGTCGCAGTTTCCAATTGTCGTATCCAGTAGTCCTCTTTTTGTCTACGGAGAGGCGTTGCAAGTTGAGGATTGTTAGTCTTGTGGTATATTTTTTCGATAATACGAACTGTCATAGAAACGATGGAATGATTAGGCTGATTAAAATGCTGGTACAGAATGTCGTTACATTGAGGTCGATATCTGATCTATGGCCGCACATACGTTTGTTTAACTTTTCTGTAGTTTAAAAACTATCAATACATTTTAATTGTCCAAAATTCAATTTAATAAAAATCTTATTTTTCAATTATTTGCTGCAATACTTTTTTTAAAATTCACGTTGCACATTGGTTTTCCTTTTCCAATAGATTCTTAAAGAACATAATATCCCTTAAAAGTATAGAATTATTGATCATTGCTTACCTCAGACTTAAGCTTCAATTTAGATTAAACTCTCGTCAAGCATCGTATACGTTATTTACACGTTTTATTTTCATATTGCAAAACCGAAACTGAAAATAACTTCTTAAAAAGCATAGGTCAATCATTCGAGATTAGATAATTCATATGCTGTCTCGTGAGTAAACACTTGAGATCAATTTTTCAGATAACATGAAAATAAAAATATCCACACAAAATTAATTTTAACAGCGCACAATGATTAAGTGTTAGATTGTATTTCATATATGTTCAATTATATAAAAAATATAATTTTTTTTAAAGCGAACATTTGATACTAGTACATGATAAGGCTATATAATCTATTTCCGTAGCTGGGCGAAAAATGTGCACATTTGTGTCTCAGTCACATATTTCGCAATATGTGTTTTATATTTTGAACATCGGTAAACTAATGTTGTCAAAATTACGCATTATGTTATATATCATTACTATTTTCATTTTGTTAATTTACTGTTTTTAAAATGTTGAATTATTCAAAACACTTAGGTTTTTCAACCCCAGGCATATATTACCTTATTCGTATTTAGCCCTACTGTTCAGTTTGTAATGCCTTCCAACAATTGTATTCTAGCGCCACTAAAGAGAATTATGCATTAAAACTCAGATCTTGTCAATAGATAGCAACGAAACAAACAAATAGCAGAAAAGGCAATGTTTAAGATTAAAATTGATAATATTGATGACATCATAACTTTCTTGTAATATGTCACACTCGTAGCATAAATATACAATTTGCAATTAATGAATGGGTATCATGTTTAATATCTATGAGAATAATGATATATATTTTAATTCCATTCAATAGTATTGGAATTGAGAAACTCATGAAAACATTATAATATTTTTTTCGTATGTCCACTTCGTAACATTTATACTACAATGTATTCAAAATATGTAAATCTCATTACGTTACTGGTTTATTTAGCAGTTGAAATTCTCTGATATAAAACTGTAAACCATTTTCAAGTACGACTTATTGCATACTTTTTTCACTCATACAAATATAAATTTTTCTTATTGCTGATCATTGCACATGTACAGCCTAACTTCCTATCCAAAACATTTCCAATATGTAACGTAAATTGTTTTTAGTGGTGAATGAATCTATAAGTGGGAGATATTTTGAAAACCATTTTTAATACAAGTTAACCTTAACAAACGATATATATCATATCTTAACTTTCAAACTTAAATTAAGAAACGCATATTTATGGATACACAAATATTTGGAATAGATGTGTTTTGTAATTTATGAAATATCTGTGCATTAAACATTTGGTGGATCAGTTATATTAAATGTTTAACATTGTGTAATCTACGACATGTGCAAAATGTTTCTATTTACAATGTAATAAATTATAATTATTTAAAATGTTATACAGCAGACAAAAAAACCAAACATCAATCGGTTGTCATTTTGTGTTCAGAAGTTTTGCATATTGAGTATGTAGAGCAAGGCAAGATGGAAGCAAAAAGTATGAAAATACACCACGTGCACAATGACTAGTACTGTTTTTCACATCAGGAATAGCTTACAATTGATTTTTGTTTCCTGAAGTTAACTGATATGCCCTGTGTGTGATGATACATGCTTAAGCAAAATAGACAGAACTTTATGATAACAAGTGGCATAAATCAGACCTATGTACAAAAATGTATAGGTATGTTTTTATAACTTTGTTACCGGGAGCTAGTATAGAAAAGATGAAGCAATAACGAAGTTGGATGCTTTAACGATATTCTACATCTGCCTAAAGGAAGAGAAAATACGACTTGAATAGTCATTTGGTATTTTTGATGCAGATTTCAATTTTTAACAAATTTTGCCAAAAATGCACCTTTGAAAATTAAGTTAGAATGCCTATATTCTAGTGTTAAAACTTAATGAACTGATAGACGATTTAGAAAAAAGAGGCAAAAGATACCGAAGGAGCATTTAATCAAATAAGTCGAAAAAAACTAACAACACTATGGCAAAAAAGACAAGCAACAGTATACAAAACACAACATACAAAAGTAAATACTGTGAAACACGAACTCCACCAAAAACCAGGGGTGATTTCAGGTGCTCTGGAAGGGTAAGCAGATCCTGCGCCACAAATATTACCCGTGATCAATCTAATTCGGTAGGTTACATTTGGGGAAAAGGAGAACAGGATTGTGGTAACAACAATTGGAACATATCCAACGTCATATGTGAAACAGATAATCCATATAAACGGTCAACCAACTTCATGAGGGCGTCCGTAAAATTTTCAAAGGGATGATTTCAACTTCTTCACTTGGAAATTTTGGTTTAATAACTTCCTTGTGAGCAGCAGCCCTCTATCAAGGAAATCATGATAGGAAACGCAATCCCTGGAATATCAATTCAACTTTGGAGACATATACTCCATATGCAGGCGCTGCTGGAATGTTGCTACCTAGCAATGGAAAGTTCACAATTGGGAAGCTGAAATCTCTCTTTTGTCTTAAAATTTTGTTTTCAACCGACCTCATTGTCAATTTCTAAATGTAAGTCAAGATATGAGGCAGACTTAACTCTAACAGTAGTATCCTTTATCTCAAGTTCAATGGGATAGATACGTTCAACATAATTACCAAATTTTGAATTATTTAGTGAGAGAACATCATCTCATCTATATAGCGAAAAGTGAAGTGAAGGATACTGCTAACCTTCTTTCCTTTCTTCCTGACAAGTTACTATATGTAGTCAGCCTCATATGAATAAAGAAATAAGTCGGTAAGAGGAGGTGCACAGTTGGTTCCCATGGGAATACCGATTGTTTGTTGAAAAACACGTCCTTTAAACGTAACAAATTTGTTGTCAAGAAATCAAGGATCTTGATAGTGTCAGTTTCAGAAATTTTTTGAATAAGTATAATTTATCCCTACCTAAAGACAAGATACTTGTATCTACGTTGGCCATTATTTTTTATGACACAAAGCAGGACCAACATTTTGAGTCAATTTGTCTTTTAGTTTAGAATGGGGAATACTTGTGTAAAGTGTAGAAAAGTCAAATGTTATAATACTATTGCAGGATAAAGGAGTCTTAGATTGTATGTACCCTTAAGGAATTTTGGAATTTTTTAGTATCCACATCTGATTCATGCCGCATCTAGAGTAGGTAGTTTCATTTTCTTTGAAGCCCGGCTTCGATTGCTGACAAAATTGATGTTAATAATTTAGAAAGAGGTTTCGTGGAGCGCTTGGAATACCATCAATATAACGTTGTTTGTAAGGACACTTATATAATTTAGGTATCCAATACAGTGAAGGAAGATCCAGTTCTTCATCTTTAGTGAGTTTCCAAGTGAAATGTCAATAACTTATTCATGTATTAAGCAGTTTATGTAATGTGATTTACACACTAAAACGATGTTGTTTGGGGCTTTATCTGCGGGGACACCAACATATTTGTCATGGAGGTAGGACAGGTGCTTGCATCTTTGGGTCTTTATAGATTGATGTAGCCTGTGTATTCATAGACCCATTCAGCTTTTAATTATGATTTGTATCAACGACCTCGTACCCTTAATATATTTGGAAAGAGTATCTACGTCTTGTTTCTCGCGTTTAACCCATTGCCTGGCATAATCCTCGACTGCATCCATCAGTATTTTGAAGTTGTGTTTCCAATCGATAGATTTAGTCTCACGATATTTCGGGCCTTTGGATAACACATTTCGCTGTAAACTGTTATTGGCAATTATTAGATCACCAGTAATAACGTGGCCAGTCTGATTATATAAGCACATCTGGAATCAGGAGGTTTACACTTGAAGTCGTCAATATTGAGATCCTTACTCAACTTAATCGTCATACTTTTTCTTAAATTATGATCTATTTACAGCTTACATTGTATATTTAGTTTATTTACCTCAAAAGAACAACGAAACCCGTCTGACTATGGAAGTGGTAAAGAATCATAGTATTTGTACAGTTACATGATTTATAACCTGCGAATTTACAAACAAATGTTCACTGGTATAGGAGCCGCGGACAAAATTGTTTTTGCCCCACAACTTTTTATAAAAAAAAATAAAAATAAAAACACAAAGGAAAGAGATAGGATACTAACTTCTAACATGTTTTATTTTGCTTGTCACTTTCAGAAGTCCCCTCTTTTTCAATCTATTCCTACACCAACAAAGCGATGCAAAAGTTTCGGGCGGATGGTAACATCGAGGACTGATTATCAACCAGCAGTTTCATGCAGTGGCTAGTAGCAAAAGCAACAAACGATATAATTTTTGAGCGCACAAGGGTTTCTGGAATAACCATCTCCATATACTATGGTAACCCAATGTTTGGAAAGCTAAAAATATAAAACATAGTAAACAATTCTTAATAACGCATGTAATTTTACATGAACATGTGGGCCTTTAACGTGGGGTTTTGATAAAATGAAAAGTTGAAGGAAGTGAAATAAAAAAAAATTATTCTTTTTTATAAGCATACTTTCAACCATAAGAACTGGTACAATTGAAATCAAACATGACGTTTTACATTTCTAATCTTTGTAGAGCAAATGCTGCATCACTTTCTATCCTTGAAATGTCCGGTTCACTGAGGATAACTCTTTCTGATTCGTTACAATTGATCCAATGTTCCACTGTTTCTGGACTTAGCAGATTGTTGTAAGGATTAACTGGATCCATTATATACGGACCATCACTGAAAGTAGAAGTATTATACATGACACGATGAAGCCAAGGCAATAAATATATCACGTTCTACACTTGTGTTTGCTGTGTTTGTATTTAGTGAGTTTGATATCAGAACTTTTCGACTCAGTATAGAATGATCTCGTCATATTGCACCGGAAAGTTTTTCTTGAAATTATTTGACTAGTTGAATCGGTCCTAGAAAATACCAAATGTTAAACAACATTTTAAATTGATGATCCAAACTGCCAACACGATTTTATTTGCACAGAGATAACGTTCTAAAACCTGGCAAATTATATAAGCCTGAAAGTACATCCTCGACTGATATTGTTGATATAATTTCAATGTAACTTTTAAATCTCTCATGAGCATGCTATTTATACGTTGCTTCAGAAGAAATAAAAAAATCGGGAAAACGTTTAGGTCCTTTTTGTTAATATAACTCTTCGAACTGTTCTTATAAATCCTTGGCTTTCAAATATTTAGCTATGAGCGTTCTTGATGGTGGCAAATCCAAAAAAGCGCTTCGGACGTATGAAATTTATAAAGTGTTGTTTTCATCTTTTACAAGAAAAGAATGAATGAAATAAGTCTATACACCAAAAAGTATTTATTTCAAATAATTTTTTTCGTTCGAGTTTTTTCATATTTTCTTATATTGGGTCCTTTAATAACTGACTATACGGTGTGGGTTTTGCTTATTGTTGAAGCCACACGGCAACCTATATCAAACGCCGTATCTTATATTTATTATTTGTTTAGTTAAAAAGTAAGCCAATCACCTGGTATAGCCTTCTATCGGCTGTACCAGGTGATTAGCTTACTATTTTAGCAACCTTTAGTTTAACCGAATACTAGCAGTTCATGTAAGAAAAAGTATTTCCGTCACAAGTTAATATAATAATAAATGTATTAATGGCGTTTATTCTTATTTCTCATCTATGTTCTTATCGACATCAAGTAAAGATTTAGCGAACAAGTTGTACGAGTTGTTCTGAATTTGTAGTAAGGTGTGAGCTTTTAGTACGTGTTGAAGACACCGTTTTGATATAAGGATAATCCTGGATAAAGAACAGCATTAAAGTGCTAGAACCATTTGACCTGTAATCTTTTATTGTTTTTATGTTCTTCTGTGAAGGGAAAATTACGTACATTATTTTAAAATTTAGTTTTGATTATGATTTTTTTCTTACTGAATATATAAGTATATAACTTGGTTTTAAACGTCTAAATTAAGAAATTTGAATAACATAAAATAACAACAAAAATTGTTGTTTCCCCAAAACGCTTTCAAATTGAATTTTAATTTGTTTTTCAAACTGAAAAATTGAAAAATTGATGTGAAAGCAAAAAATAAATAGTGATCTGCCATCAACAGCAATAAGCGTCTAAAGCACTATGATAACATTAAATAAAACCACCATCGAAGATCATTACATAGAAACAGATCATTGAATAAAAGAATGTGCGGTAAATGTCAATAAGACAGCTAGCAACAGCAAAAAATTAAAATAATGGCAAGACAATCCATGACGTGGTTTCTGACACGGACAAGACGCATGGATATGATTGAATGATTGATTGGTGATTGCTTTTCGTCGCATCAGCACAGAAAGGCTATATCGCGGCAATACGCATGGATATGCGTGGCGGGATTAAATTATACATTTCCTTTTTTTCTGATCAAACCCTCTCAATTTAATTTGGATTTTAGGACAAAAAAGGATACATGGAAGAGCAAACAATAATAATCAGTAAAGGAATAAAAAACTTTTGACACAGAGATATGTCTCGCGTTTTGTAATTTTGATAGTATAGTGCAAATTCAAAGTCAAAGGACCATGACTGAAGGTGCAGGGCCAATGCGACCTTTAATAGGAATAGAGAAGAGGGGTCGGTCACCAAAATGCTAGTTAGAACTGGACAATCTACAGTCCAGAAGAACAAGTCAACGGCTGGTATTTATGTACAAAGTGGTTGAGGGTTTGGTCCCAGCTATTAATCCTAACGATTTTCTGGTTAAAAGAAAACATAAGTGAAAACTCATACCGAAAACAATTTGATAACTTTGAAAGTGCCAATATAGTGTCAAATTCACTGAAGACCAATACAAAAGGCACTAGATAATTTCCATATGATACGGATCCATATAAGAACTATTTCTTTGTCGAGAGCATAATACATTGGAACCAACTGGAAGACAGTATTGAATGCGCAAATACAGTTGAGAGCGTCACCAACACCTTCAATAGGTGTATCTCTCTCCCATTGGATAAAAGCCAGAATTGGTAACTTTAACGTTTACATACAGATACAGAGAAATTTGATTTGATTTGATTTGATTTGAAATAACCTCCATTGAAATGAAAAAATTCCAATAATTATAAAACTGCATACCAAATACCATTGACTTAGCATAAGGGGTTTCTTAAAACTAACCTTAACACAAACTTTAACTTTTAAACTATGTAAAAGTTTCAAAGTCAATGAACCATGATGAGGGTTGGTGCCATAGTATCTCCATGAGACTTGCAAATGCCAATTACTTAACACAATTGATTCATCTTAAACTGATCTTATTACAAACGTTAACATGTAAACTAAGCAAAAGTTTCAAAGTCAATAGACCATGAATTAGGGGGCGGGGCCAAATAATCTCAATGGAAATGAGATGTGCTAATGCTAATACAACTGTATACCAAATATCACAGACCTACCACTAGTGGTTCCCCATAAACTGACCTAATCACAAACTAATATATCTACATTGTTAACGCCGCCGACTCTGGAAACATCACGACATATTCTTGCTTTGTCTACGTCGTCAGAGTTTTTTAACGTTGACAAGCACACAAATCTAAGCAGAATAGCCAATGACGTCAATGTTGTCCAATGAAAAATTAGTATGAAAAAGTACGGGAAATATGTTTATTATACTATTAACCGGGGTAATAGTCTTTGAAACTATTGACTGGCAAATAGTCTGTGGAATGAAATAGCACAACTATTTAATTCTTTTTTACATAGAAAAAACATACTGAGGTATAATAAATAGTTCTATTGCATATGAAGACAATTTGTGCTGTAAATTTAATAATAACTTTTTCAAATAATGTTATTTTTTTCTCGAATAATGGTTCTTCCGAGTTTGAACATTTACAAAATAGAGATCATAATAAATTTCAGCATCGAGTGTCTCTAGATAAGGCGGTTTTTCAATAGTATTTTACTCAGAAAAAGTAAAAATGTCGAACTTGTATACTTTGTACGTGCTGTACTCTGAATAAAGTTTTAACTTGATATTTGGAACATGAAAAAAAGAGAGAGAAAACACCAAGAAGTAATAAAAAAAGTCCAATAAAAATAGACAACAACATGGCAAAAAAGAAAAACTACTGAAAGACAAACAACATTAACAAAACATTACATAGAACACTAACAATTAAGCAACACCAACCCCATTACATATCAGGGGTGAGCTCGGTACAATGTAGCTCCGGAAGGTCACTTCACTAGGGATACTGTCTTGTCGTGTTGCTCATATAACATGTGTAAGTGAAAAGTTGCATTCGGTAATGACACAATCTTGGAAAGGAAGACGAACTTGTGGTTACGACAAGTGGAACATTACCCACGTTGTCTATGACACATATATTCCATAGCGGCCAATCAAATCATAGTAGCGTCCGTAAAATATAACTATAGAATGGATGACTTCGACTTTACAATTTAGAACCTTCGATGCAATAACTTTGATGCAAGCAGTAACCTTCTATTAAGGAAATCATGATAGAAAATACAAACCCTAGTTTGTCGTTTTCAACTAGGAGATATATACACCATACGCAGGCTCTGATGGATGGTTGTTACACAGAAATCCAATTCAAGAGCATTTTGTCCAAGGTTATGGTTGTCTTTCTAATATTGTTTTACATCTAACCCCCTTGTTTTATTAATTTTGTATTTTTTATATAGCTTGCTGTTCGATGTGAGCCTAGGCTCCGTGTTGAAGGCCGTATTTTGACCTATAATGGTTTACTTTTACAAATTGTGACTTGGATGGAGAGTTATGTCATTGGCACTCATACCACATCTTCTTATTTAACTGTGCCTATGGTATCTTTTATTTCAAGTTAATAGACTATTTTCATATTACTGACTTGTCTCTGGAGTATATAATTTTTTGACAAGTGACATACTCTGTGGTAGGACATTCTGGTAACTGGTCAAGTGAGAGCATCTTAAAGAAGCAAAATCAAGCTTATAATCGGTGACGTTTGGAGAAAAAAAATAACTGTGTTATGATTTCTAAATACAAAATTGAACCATTAAAACTTAAAAGTGCCTATGTCACATATATTTATATATATATACATGATCAGATGGATTTTCTTATTAATTTTGAGGTCACTTTACCTTGTAGGTCAATGTCATACTATCTAAAAATAGACCGAAATTAATGCATGGCAGGAGCTAAATTAAAGCTCTAGAATTGATACAAAACTTAAGTATGTTGTCGCATATGTTTAGCAAAAGACCCCTTTCTATTTTGATGGACTGAACTATAAGTGCAATGTTTCTGGTTAATAATTCCAAGACCTTAAATTAGAAATACGCTCTCATTGATCTACTAACGTGGTCCCTTTTCAACTGAAGGTTTACAGTTTGTTCTGTCGTTGTACTGTTACTTCTCTGTCCTGGTAGGTGAGGGGTTACAAGCTCGCATAATAGTTTACCACTCCACACTATGTGCCTGTCGCAAGCAAGGAACTTAGGTCATTAACCCAGACTGGTTGTCGTTGGTTGCTTTCTTCCTAAATATTTTTCGTTTACTGCTTAAAGCTGGCATGTCCACCAGACTGAACAGCGCTCCGTAATCGAGATGCGAGATGAACCTATACCTGCAGCTTTATAAAAGGCTATTCTGCTTTGATATCGAATCTTCTATCGATTTGGAATATCAGAATTGGGACTCAGCTATCGAGTTCAATTTTCGAAAAAGAGTAATTATTCTTTTGATGGCTTATATGTATACTACGCA